ATCTGGCTTTGGCAATAAGGTAATGACTGTCTGTTTTTGTGTGTTTGAGGGAAGCAACCAGTGCATCTCCAATATGATATATTCCCCCAAAAATGTAAATATAACTCAGGGGTAGACCATCGCTACCTTGAGTCTTATGTTGAAGGGCTTTTTTAAGTACAGCAAATTAGTAAGTGGGCTTTCACACTGTATTGCAATCTTGAGCCAGGCATTACCTTATTGCCAAAGCCAGATAAAGACCACCTTCACACACGCACATACTATAATACGGTAGTTCTCTTTTTGGAGAATGTGGTAGCCTTGAAAAGGGCCGTTTTGTTTGGGTTGAAATTCTACTTTTATCCACCAAAACTGTATGTACGACCACGGTTACTACCGTGGTACGACCCTGGCGATTCAGTGCGTAGACTACATCAATGGCGGTTACGGTCTTTCTCTTGGCATGCTCCGTGTAGGTGACGACTTCACGGATGACATTCTCCTGGAACGCCTTCAACACGGATTTCCTCGTAGATCTGACCGGAGATAGTTTCACACCACCACGAGGCTCTGATTTGACGCTGAAGTAGTGCTAAATGTTGATAACTTACTACAATAAGTTACACACTTTGTTTTCACATTTACGTAAGTTGTAACTAGAAATATAAACATCGGCTGCAAATCAGAGGAATGATTGGCAGATATTGCCCACAATGTTTTCTATTTTTGCTACAAAGTCAGGTATCCCTAGACGTTGAGGCGCGCCTGTCCTCAGTCACTTTTGGTCAGTCATCGTGTTGATTGCGTGTCTGCAAACCGGCATTCGCCCAAGTTGTTTAAACAACACGATGGAGAACACGATGGAGAAGCAAGGAGTCGAAAAACCAGTTGAAGTGAAAAGAAGAGTTGTAGATTTGTATTTTCGTGGACTGTCATTTGTTGAGATTGGAGATCGAAATGGTGTGTCAAAGCAGACAGCTTATAATATCGTCAAACGGGTTGTTACCACCGAGAGTATCCTGCCAGGAAACTGACAACGTTATAGACTAAGTCGAATATTTTAAAACATTGCGACCGCACATTTACGGACGGGAATTTCGACAAAAACTACTTGTGTATGTACGGCGGCAACCCTCCCCGGACGTGTGATCGTGTGTTGCTTTTTAAAGCGATTATTTGGTGGCACATCAACCTTTTGGTTCTCATCGTCGAGAACTAATAATCGAATAACACCCATTCTATGTATTCAATTTCATTATTGATATAGTGGATGAAGTCTTCATAGGACATCATTCTGTCATGATCAGTCGGTCAGCTGGTTCTGTAAAATAACGTTCTTTACAGTGCCACCACTTTATGCGCCCCTCTCACTGAAATAACATGTGACGCACGATTATCGCAGAGAACTTTACGATGACGTTTGGCGCATTTCTTTCCAAGACCCTTGCCTACTTTGCCATGATATGACCAGATATGATTGACGACTTCAGTGTATAGAAGTAAACTGATCAAAACTGATCATTAGGTGAGCGCATTCACTATTTATAGCTAAGGTTATGCTAATGAAGGATTCTAAAACAAGCGCACCAAACCAAACGAACGCAAGAGAAAACACATTTTTAGGTATTTTTCGTTCAAAGTGTTCATTGCCATTGTTGAGGCGCTGACTGAATGCCAATCATCCCGATCCTCAATTCTGATTGGAATTATATATTTGCAATCGGAATCCGGGTCGGGTGTATATAAACTGCCAGTATCATTTTCGTCCTAGTCGAGCCGAATAGTTAACACACAATTATGTCAAATCGTGGAAAAGGTGGTAAGGGGCGGACCATTTGACTTTTTTTCCCTGTCTTATTCCAAACCACGATCTTACAAACCAGGCTATAAACAGTACACTAAACTACTTGACATTTATTTACCGACCCACCTGAAAAAATTCCAGATCATTCTGGCTGGAGAAGAACAATCAGGCTCTGGCTGTTGAAAAACTGAGGCATTTCATCAAACAATCGAGGAAAGAAGGGTGCAGGACCCCCGAAAGGTCAGGAGACGCACTTCTAGCCTTAAATATACCAGTGCTTCGGCACCAAACGGCCCTTTTCAGGGCCACAACATCCTCCCAAAAGAGGACTACCGTTCTAACTATGGACTCCATGAAATCAATAACACAAAACGCAATAGACACTTCTCACGTAAGAAACACATTGCAAGATGCAAACGAATAAAAAAAAATACAATGCAAAACTGGCTAAAAATAAACGGTTGGCTGATCAAGCTCAGTTGGTCTCAAATTTTATTCGGAATTTTTCGAGTAAAATTCTAACCTCAACCCTTGGCAATGGACTCAAATTTATACCAACCCCACCTAAGCCAACCTAGCACACTTTGCTCAGAGACATGTCTATGCTATCTAGGATAATGCATAACAAATATCTAATGCGTAATAAACAATCTCAACAACACCCCTTCAAAATGGAACCCACCAGACTCGCATAACAGTAGCCTCGAAAATGACATTGAGGCAACCAAAGTTGAGATATCCAAAATTACTACCAATAACCCCAAACAAAACATAAATTCTGCTGAAAGAGCAGCAATAAATAGACTACATCATGATAACACAATTGTAATAAAAACCATTCGACAAAGGTCGTGGCGTTGCAATCATGAATACAAATGACTATATAAACAACGAGCAATACTATACTAAAATTAGTGGTAAAGATACAATAGTAACAACTCATTTGGTCCATGAGCTCGTTACAGACATGTACAATCTGGAATAAATCGATTACGACACGTATAAATATACAGACCCATTTAACTACAAAGTTAGAACGTCCCGGTGGTATTTACTGCCTAAAGTACACAAACCACCACCAGAGAGCAGTATATTCGTCGGTAGACCGATAATCACGGTAGACCGATAATCAATGGTTGCTCTGGTCCCACAGAAAAAAAATATCAGAATGATTTACCACTTCTTAATTCCAATCGTTAAAAGGCAACATACCTACATCAAAAATACTACAGATTTTATTAACAAAATCGAAAATATACAAAGCAAGTATCTGATAATAACGTCCCAGTAACCTTGGATGTCGTATCAATGTATACTAATACTGTTCACGAAGAAGCGATCCGAGCAACCGCTAATGCAATGCAATCGAATTACAATCACAATGATAGTCCTTTGAAACCACTACATTTGGAATATATAATTAAACTCCGTGAAATCATTCTGAAAAAAAATACATTCGATACCCAAACATGTGGATTTAGCATGGGATCACCATCTTCGCCTGAGATTGCTGACATTACATTCCACCTACTGGAAAATCGAATTTTACTACTTGGTGCTCGATATATTAAAACTTGATATCGTTTTTGAGATGACATCTTCGAGGTATTCAATGTTACCATACCTGAATTACCCAAATTTGTTCAGGATGCCAATATGCTTCATGACAAATACCGGCTCACATTTGAATACTCCATGACACAAGTCACGTACCTTGACCTTGACCTATATAAAGGACAACGCTTCCATGATCTGAATATACTGGACGTGAAAACGCACACCAAGACAACAGAAACGTTTCAATATTTGAAACGTAATTCTTGTCACCCTACATCAGTATTCAATCGTTTTATTAATGGCGAAACTATTCGGTATGCTCGTACATGTAATAATGTAAATGATTTCTTACATATACCGTTTATACGTAATTTATTTATTGAAAAATTGCGTGAAAGAGATTACACAGATAATGATATCGATAAATACTCTTCAATTAATGAACATCACAATCGTATCTCACATTTACGTGAATCATTGAAGGGCAAACAATATTCACAACTACCTTCAACCCTTATATACAAGGATACAAGCTCAAAAGATCCCTATTAAAAAAAAACTGAGACTTAATTCGGAATGATCTGTTACTCTGTAACATTTTTCCAAATCCCCCCCCCCTTATTGCATTTCGTAGAAATGCCAACTTGAAAGATAAACTTACAAGTTTACGTACTGACAAACTCGTGAAAAACGACACACCAAACGACGAAGAATTACTTTCCATTTTAACTAAATTGTATAATGAAAGTAATAACGTCAAACATGCTTAAAGCTAAATAAATCGAACAATTCGGTCAAGTACTGTTCCGACTGATGAAGGGTTCAACAAAGAACCCGAAACAGCACCATCACACGAGTGAATAGTCCAATTACGGATAAATTTGAGTGCTGTATCGACATATGCTTTCTTCGAACTCAGTTCTTTATTCTAATATTGTTTCAGTGTTTACTTCTATCGGAATCACACCTGAAATATTTTAACATGGAATGATACTTCTGTTACGTATTTAGTTAGCTAATGCATTACTGCCCTAAGTCGGTGAAATGTTCGTCAATCCACCACCCCATCGATATCCTCGGGTGCGAACATCCGGGCATTTTCACCGCCTGGCAACCCCCGCGTTGAAAACAAAGGCCAAAAACTCGCAAAAACCGGTACTTTGGGATGGTTGTTGTGACTCCCCTGAACAGTGTAACAAGATTAGCCATTCGTGTGTAACATATATAAATTTGGTTGTTCAGAATTACTTCAAAGTTGAGTTTGTGTTGTTTTCTCGAATTTTCACCGGCTCGACCGGCGTTCCACAGCAGCGCGCACAAAGCCCATAGAAATGCATGGTACAGTGGTGCGCGTCTTAGCAACGTGGAACGTCTGTGACGTAGTT